AACCCTTACAGTCTGGTTTGATATAAAAGCACAGAACCCCGTTCATACCACCAGACAACAGCTTCAATCCATTCAACATGATTTATTTTTGGTTCCAGGTTCAAATAATAACAAACTCTGCCGTCTCTCTTCTTGACAACCTTTAAAAAATAATGCCTTACAATTCACAGAAATAGAAAAAATAACTTAGATTTTAAATAGATATTTAGGTAAAAGGAATAAATAGTAGAATGTTGTGGGTAGCTGCTGCGCTGGGACGTTTTGACTTCACGACGTCTTTTAAAAGGACAGATCGGGAGGACAGCGTAGACTTCCCTGCAGAGAGGAGAGGAAACAGGAAACGTACAATGAGACAAGGCCTAGAACAATGAGCTGTACTGAGAAATAGACTCTTTTGTTTGTTAAATGTTGTGTTTTATATGTAAAATCTGAATCAGCAGAGTAAATAGTGCAGTGAAGAGAACATTGTACTTCTGAGATGTAGAGTAGAAGTACAAAGTAGAAAATGGAAGTACAAGTACCTCAAAATTGGTACATACTTTTTTGACTAAATGTTCTTCGTAACCAAAGTGATTTGGGTTTAACAGCCTGTGTCTGTACCTTCTTATTGGGAAAGTTCACACTGTTTGTTTGAATCCACATTGTGCGTGTTTTCTAAGTGAAAGTCACAAAATGCTTGACGAGGTTTTAGGAAGAACTCAGATTCTCCAGACGTGAACATTTAGTGCAGTAGGACTAGTCAGTGACTGAGCTGCTCTGCAGTTCAACATGACTTTCTGTTCGCTGAGTGAAGCTCGTGGAGATGCTCTGAGGGATTCTCACCGTCGCTATCTTCGCTTTGAGCCACGCAGCCTCCGGTCTGATGCACCACCGGCCCTTCCTGTTTATAATCCTGGAAACAGACACAAAAACACTTTTCATCACCTGAATGTTTGGTTATTTGGTTCCAGTTTCGTCCCCGTAGTTCTTATCAAGATCACGGAAACATTTATCGTTTCTGAAAGAAGCTCAATAATCTCATAACACAGCATTTGTTTTCAGGATGAAGCCAGCAGTTGGTGTCCATTAGTCACATGTCGTGCTTACAGGAAGGCGTGGTCGCAGTTCTTTCGTGGCTGCTGCTCGTAGCACTCTCTGATGACGTGGATCTTCCTGGAGCTGAAGTTTCTACAGCAAGGTACGCTTTGACCGGAGGAATCCGCTGCAACACACACAAAGAGAGGAAATACTCTTTATTCAGCATGACGTCACTCGTTCTGGTCGTTAATATAGGACCTGTTACACACTGGGAGGTACCATGACTGCAGAACATCCAGAATACTCATCCAGGGGTTTATTTCACTGCTTTGTCTACTTGTGTCTGTAGATTTCTCCTAAATTCACCTGAAGTTGCCAGTAGATAATGCCTCATTTGCATATTTAAACATAACATTTCAGAAATCTTTAAATTCAAATGTTTACCGTATTCACATGTCGTGTTTCCACTGAAGGACTAACGGGCTCATAATTTAGAGAAGATATAAATATATAAAAAGATAAAAGGAGCAGGACAATAACTAAATGAGCAGACAGTGAAACAAATATATAAATGTACACATTAAGAAATTAATGTTAATTTAATTCATCGTGAGCCTCATAATAACTTACAGATGTATTCCTTAAGTCAGTACATCAAACCCCTTTTTTTTGCATTCTGTAAGTAGACGCTGATGATTAATAATGTCAGAAAGTAAAGACAGCATTCTTGTTAGAACTTCTCAGAGCCCAATGTGACATTTTTAAAGCCCTTCTTTTGTCTGATCAACAGTCCAAAACCCAAATATATTCCATATGTTATCATATACGAAGGACAACAGCAGCAAATTCTCACATTTAGGAACCTGGAACCAGCAAATACGTGTAATTTTTCGCTTGAAAAATCACCGAAACCAATAGTTTTCTGTCAATTGACTTTATCCTGACACCGTTTCTGTGTTGTATTCAAACTCCAGAAGACTAAAGCTGCGTCTGCACAAGTTGCAGATTAATCCAGGTGTTGAGTTTTACCTTCAGATGCAGAGAAGAGCATCAGGACAGTCAGGGCGAGCAGACACATCCAACACCTGGCAGAGAGAGTCGTCCACATCTTCAAAGTCTTCAACCCGAACTCTGGAGCTCAGCTAACGATGAATGAACCGGAGGAGTTGGGATCTTATAGACTGCAGCTCCACAGAAAGAGGAACCTTGTTGTCATGGAACGAATGTTGGAAACAATCACGCTGCGGCGATGACAGGACGAGGGACTCAAACGGCAGGAGTGTGTCCGTCATGTTGTGTCCATATATGTTCATATGTCGCAGCAGATTCATCACCTCGCTGTTACGTGATGTTCACATGTCACCACAGCTCCAATCCAAATTGAGCTGCAAACACAATTATATGATAATAATTATAACTTTATGAATATAGCACCTTTAAAAACAAAGTTTACAAAGACAAATAATTTAGTAAAATCAAAGAAATAGCAATAAAACGTAAAAATGACGACGTCACATCAAAGCCAGTCTATAAAAATGTGTTTTAAGAAGTATACTCTGTTTACTTCTGTGTACTCTTTTCTTATTTCGGGCCAATCGAGGTACATCGTCATGTTCAAACAGAATGTGGAGACAAGAGGATGACGAGCATTGATGTTTGAGTGACACCCAAGGCTCTCTGACAGAGAAGAAGTTTATGTTTTATGTAAGTCGGGACGATGCACACGACACATCATGTTAATGTGACAGATTCTGCCATGCAGGCTACTTCTCATCTGCAGTCCCCTCGGCCATGCGACGGTATCAGAAAGTTATAGAGAAGTCATGAAAGGTTGAAGTTAAACATTTAAAGTAGAGACGCTCAAGCTTTGGTCCTGAATGAAAGGAATTAAAAGTAATTTCTATTTTATTTGCCATTCATGATTTTGTGATTTGCTTCTACGCTGAAGTTTAACCCCAGAAATGTGAAGACAGTTTGTCGAATACAACTCTCACATCTTCCTGTGTCCTTACTGTGGTTCAGTCACTTGGGGAAGTCAAGGATTGAGTCAAGAATATTTGAGGTGTCGGTAGTAGAAAGAGATGTCAGAGAGCTGGGGAATCATTTAATAAATGTTGATTCTTGATGTTTCTTTGTTGTTGACTGACGGATATTCTTCCAACTTTGTTCTTCACAACTACAGGTCATCATACACAGTGGTTCTTCCCAGTTAGGGGTTAAGTTCCTCCATTAAATGCTCCTAAAGACTCTGGTCTCTACATATACGTATATATATATATGAGTGTAATCTATTCGGATAGATATGTGACAGAAGTATTTTAATGACTATAGTGAGAATCTTTGTATTTAATGTGAGCAGGAACAGGGGAATCCCCTGAACTCAGGAGCCTGTTCAGAGACGCACTAATAATAAGTCCCATCGACTCACAAACCAAACTACTATTAAACATCCTCTGTTACAATAATAACCTTTAAAAACAGTCACAGCGGCGTGAGACGCTGCTGAGAAACCCAAAAGAGGAATTACTCACAAACGTGGAATGCAGCTGCAGATATTTAAAGAACATTTCTGACCGAGTCGTCTCCATTGAAGGGGTTCCGCTTCCCCGAGCTTTCTACCACGTCTCCCTGACTTCATCAGCACACAGGCAGTTGGAGTGGGTTTGTATGCGCATGCGTTTCTCTGATGATTGAACAGTTTGAAAGCATCAGAGAAACTAAACAGGTCTTTGTGTGCTGCTATGAGATTAGAAAAGTCACCAACATCTTTGGTTTTATTAGTTTTGATGTCACATTTAATTCAATTTAATGTGGCTTTATTGGAATGAAAGTTAAACATAATTAAACTGTGTTGCCAAAGCATCGAAATACAAAAGTACACAATAATATGAATATGAACGCAACATTAACACATTAGGATTGTGGTATAATAATGATATATTTGGATTATCTTAATTATCTTTTTGTCCCACGAGTCATTATTTTGAGCCACATTACTTTTATTTAAAGTTTTATTCAAGATCCCAGTGAAGAAAAGTGACAAAAGTGACAGCACTCTTAAAATACATGCTTTAAATACATGTTTAGGTAAACATGGAACAAAATAAAAGTTGTGTGCTGCCATGAAATAGAAGAAAATAAAAGTAAAATGTAATTTTATATTTTTGAGTCTCATTATTTAACTGAGTAAGAGATTAAATGAAACAAAATGAGTAGCAAAAAGTATAATTTTATTGAATGTAAGGCTGCAACTCTCAATTCCTCCAACCAGTCCAGAACCTAAAGATATTTAATTTAATGTCATATATCACAAAAAAATCCTCAAATTTAAGAAACTGAACCCAGAGAATAGTTATCAGTGATCATAATAGTTGAGGAATGATTTTCTGTCGGTCGAGTAATTGATAAATGTACTAAAACAACATGACATGAGGTGTTTTTACGCTTTACTACGACCCTCAGAGTGAAACGTCAGCTGGGCAGCAGCTTCAAGTCTCCGTGTGTGAAGCAGCAGAAAAGAGGAAGCAGAAGTTAAGGACGAGGCGTTGCATTGATAGATAGCATCGGTGTGAGTGTTGCATCAGTGTGTCTCTGAGGGCGTCGGTTTGTTGCTATTTATTACAGATAAGCAGACATTACTAAATGCTTCCATGATGAGTTCTCTCCTCTTCTTTGTTCACACGGCTCCTTATCGCCGCACATTCTCGAAAGATCATGTCCTCTGTCATGTTTCTGGAGATTTGTTTTATTTATTTTTTGTATTTGCCGATTTTCAACATTAATCGAAACAAGTTTCACAGACACATATATACATATACATATGTGTGTGTATATATGTGTATTTGTATATGTATATATATATAGAGAGAGATACATTATGTTAACGTCACCAATGATAGTTTTCATCATTACGTCCATTCCATTGTTTCTTTTAAACTCGCCGCGTTACGTGTGTTCTCGCGAGATGTGAGCAACAGCGCCCCCTTTGTTTGTGTGTGTAAAAGCAACGGGACGTACCGAGGAAATCCTCCGTGGCTAACGATAGCAAGGTACACAAATAGGGATTTAATTCACTCTGGCTCTTCGCTGACACTCTGGTGGGCTGCAGGAGGACATAAGAATTAAAAACATACTATTGGATAAACCAACCTCCACGGGTTTCCCGCTACATTCCCACCGAGGCGAGCGGAGAAGAACGAGAGACTCCCGCTAATCCCGAGAAGAGGGTGACGTGGCCTGCTTTTCTAGCCGCTTTCCGGTGCACCTCGGGCGGCCAGCACTGTTACTCGAGCCCGGTGCTTCTGCTGGTTCTTTTTTATTTACCCCAACAAGAAGCGTCGGAGGTTTAAAACTATTTTTGTTTCAATAACCAGGTTGTAGTTGATTTATACCCACGTCTACGTGCTGCTGTGGGTATTTCTCGCACCAAAAGGAGCATTTTAAAGCCGGTGCGGCCTGTTTTTGTTGTTTTTTTCGAGCCGCCTTCACAACTCCTCCGGAACAATAACACAACCATAACGAGCCTGATGGGGCTGCACGGCGGAGCCTCAGGGCGAGATAATAACGCGTGCATTGTGTGACACACCGCCTCTGGACCGACGTGAAGCATGCACGTGGACTATGGAAGTACCACCACTTTGTCACGAAAGACCCGGTTTGAATGTCGGAGTTTCTGCTGGTTTTTTAAGTAAGGGTTGTATGGGAACCGAGCCGAACCGAGCCGGATGAACCAACAGGTGGATTGGATGTGTTTGGGGATGAATAACCTCGATTGCTCCACGCGCAGGCTGCTGTATATGTTAAATTTACGCACGTGGAACATCTCCATCTAATGCGCTCGTCAAAGCCACCAGACTCCATTGATAAAAACAGTGATTTTACGGAACACGGGGGGAGTCACCGGCCCACCGCTGCTCAGTTTGTTTTGTTGTGTGTTGTGTGTTGACTTTGCGGAGATGAACCCGGTGAACGCGACGTCCCTCTACGTGTCCGCGAGCCGCTCGGTGCTGCAGTGCGACCCGCGAGACCCCCGGAGCCTCGCGGAGCTCTGCAAGCTGCTGCCGTTCTTCCGCCAGTCGGTGTCCTGCTTGGTCTGCGGTAAGTGTGTGTGTGCGTGTGTGCGCGTGCGTGTGTTTTATTATTATTGTTATTTACATGTGATAGAATACGTGTGTAACGGGGCTGTTCGGTAACGTGCGTTGTTGACAGCTGAGCTTGCAGTGGGGGCGAAGCTTTAAATTATGCTGCTTTCAAGTACAGTCGGAAATATCTCAATCCGCACTATAATAACAATAATAATAAGTTTATTTATCCTGTCCTTTTAAAGGACAGACAAAAGCAAAACAATAATAACAAAAACAGAAAGCTTAGTGAGACAGTTAATACGACAAAAATAAACTAAGAAATAAAATTGTCAATAAACTAAGAAATAAATAAAATAATAAATAAATAAAAATAATGTTTAGTAAAAAAAAAAGTGCAAAAACTATTTTGTTAAGAAAGCTAAAAAGTTAATTATGTAAAGACATTTCAGCACAATTAAATAAAAAATACGATGAAATATAATAACATAGTGAGTGACATTAAGAAATATTCAAATCAATCCCACGGTAACATCGATATATATTTAAAGACACAGAGAAGGTTTTATCAAGTGATTTTCAATATATTACTCCAAATAATATATATATTGACTTATGATACAATTTACCTAATTTATAAGATAACTATTTATTTTACAACAATAACCACATGACATAAATACAAGAATATATATATTGACACTCTAGTATATATTGCGCTTTACATTCCTCTGTTAGTCTCAGTAAAATATCTGCATACTTCTTCCACTACTGTGTTGATGAACTCTGAAACGCGCCGTTTGCGCGGCGCAGTGAACGCACCACGGTTCTCAGCAACACCCACCGTGACACACCCCCCTCTGGGTGCTGAGTGGCAGCATCTGGGCGTTTCTCCTGTTTACGGGGGGGTTGAGTAACAGTCCTGCCACATACTGCATGTTATGCACCCTAAAATAAATACAATACATGCACACACACACACAAGTAAAGTGCAGTACTTTAGTGTTAATGCATGTAGCTGTTAATTCAAGCAAAGCAGCGTCTCTGTAGCCGGTCTGCTTGTGTCGGGTTGTAAATAAACCTCATCTTTGATTTATGTCGCTGGAGAGTTTAATGCATTGTTTTCACTGCTCATGCATGATGCAGTAGGTGCTCCTCAGCTGTAGCGGATGCACAGGGAGCAGCTCCTGAGGTAGAGGTGGTGTTTGTGTTGCAGCTTTACTACACTCACTGAAAGCACCTCCGTCATGCAGGTTATAAACACTATAAAAGCACTCTGTACGTCGTGTTAAATATAGATGTTCTGCAGTGATGCAGGGTTTTATCAGACAGGCAGTGCAGAGTGTGGACCGTCGGTTGTTTCTCATGAATGGACCTTCATGCCCCCCCCCCCTCTCTCTGCAGCTGCACTCCCTAGCGAGCAGCGTTGCTAAGGAAGCTGCTCTCAAAGAGCGGTTCTCATCCAGTCTGGCAAGTTGCCGAAGCGCCGCTGTGGTTTACAAACACACATCAGTTCAGAGAGCTCTAGGAACACCACAGAGGAGGACGTTTGTAAATCCTAAATGTCGACTGTTTTTAAAGCCAGGGCCACATTTGTCGGTTAGATAACAATTCTCAAGCTGTGTTGCTTTAATCTGGTTCCTGTGAATGAATCATCAGTGTGAGCGTTTGTGTTCCTGTGAGATGTGAGATGTATTTCTTCTTCTTCTCTTCAGGTAACCTGCTGCAGGACCCCATCGCTCCCACCGACTCGTCATGCCAGCACTACGTCTGTCGAGGCTGTAAGGGTCAGAGGATGCAGCTGAAGCCGTCCTGCAGTTGGTGTAAGGACTATTCCCGCTTTGAGGAGAACAGGCAGCTCTCCCTGCTTGTCCACTGTTACAGGAAGCTGTGTCTCTACATCACCCAGTCGCCGCTCGCCCCGCACATAGCCAGCGCCGCCGGAGACTCGCCGGAGCTCCAGGCCGTCCTCAACGAGGGCCTCACGTTGGCTGAGAGCGAGCCAGAGGCTGAGGACGTTCCGGACTCGGCCTGCGCTCTGCAGGCGGCCTCCACCTCAGACGTGGTCCAACCCGACGAAGCTCCGCCCACGAAGGAGATGAAGGTGGAGGAGCCGAGCCCCGTCGGCATAAATGGGCTGCACGATTGTAACGGCCTGCTCAGTTCGGACGCTCTGCAACACATCACCGTAGAAACAGGTGGAGGTGTCGCCAAGCAGGAGAGCTTTTCGGAGGAGGTCCCGGTGTGTGTGAGCGCCACGGGGACAGGGGAGGCGGGGCTTTGTGACATCGGCTCTTTCGGGGATGACTTGAAACATGGCGGGGGTCCGTTGTTGTTGAGCGTTGAGGAGGTGCTCAGGACTCTGGAGACGGACGCGGACCCTGATCCCACCCCCCAGCTCAACGGACCTCACTGTCTCCCCGACTCCTCCCGCCTCTTCCCCTCCCTCCCCCGAGGGAACAGCCCTCGCCCCCTCCAGCCTCACCCGCAGCCCTCCACGCTCGTCCCCCACGCCCCCCCTCGGTACCACCGCAAGCGCTCCCGCTCAGAGAGCGACAGCGAGAAGCTGCAGCCCCTCCCCATCTCCACCCTCTTGCGAGGGCCCCCCCTCGGTGCCAACAGCTCCCCCCACCACCCTAACCCCGGGGTCACCACCAAGCAGGAGCCTAAGTTCTCTTCAGCCACGCCCCACCCACACCTGGCCCCGGTGCCCAACGGCAGCCCCCCCAAGGTGGGCAAGACTGTGCTCGTCTCCAACAAGGCGCTGAAAAAGACTGTGGAGCTCCACGGGGGCCCCAAGAAGGCGTACACCAAGGCCCGGCAAGGGGCCCCCAAGCCCCGCACGCAACCCCGAGACAGAATGCCCCCACACCCCCACGCTCACCCCATGACGCACCCACCCAGCCCCTCGAAGCCGCTGTACAAGAAGCCTGTGGAGAAGAAGGGCTGCAAGTGCGGCCGAGCCACACAGAACCCGTCGGTATTGACCTGCAGGGGGCAGCGCTGCCCCTGCTACTCCAACCGCAAGGTGAGAACGCCCAGCAGACATCCCATATAGTCTCTTCAAACACACACACACATAGTCAACATATATGGTGTTGTTATTGAGTACTTAGCACAGCTCAGAGCCCACAGCGATGTGCTGCTGAGGCTGCTGTCACCGCTGCTGTTTGGACGTACATCCATCTTCATGGCTGAGCAACGCATACGTACTAACTAAGTGGATTTCCTCCCGCGGGCTCATTACATTTAACGATGCTGGAGTTTGTTTACACTGCGCTGTAGTTTTATGACTAACTTGTTTCTGTGGGAGGATGAAATACTGTCGACGTCGTCGTAAAGAGCTTTGGCTATTAGTGAAGTTAGACCTCTACGCGGTCGCTCTGAAACGTTTAAATACCGCAGCATCCTGTCAGACTGACCCACACACACTAACACGCTAATATGTGCAACATTAAAGCTACAAATGACACCGTGAATGTCTGTTTGTTACAGATATAAGTTATTGTAACATATCTCTCCTCTCCTCTCCTCTTCTCTCTCCTCCTCTCCTCCTTTAACCTTTTGTTTTTGTTGCTTTTTCTGTCAGAAGCGTTGGTCACACGTGATGTGTTCAAGTACCGTCGTAAAGCTGTAAATCTGACGAAGACGTTTTTGACGATGTTGTTCTTGATTGTTTTTTCTCAGGCGTGTCTGGACTGTATCTGCCGCGGCTGCCAGAACTCCTACATGGCCAACGGCGAGAAGAAGCTAGAGGCCTTCGCCGTGCCGGAGAAAGCTCTGGAACAGACTCGCCTCACGCTGGGCATCAACCTCACCAGCATCGCCGCGGCGGCCCTCCGTAACCCGGCAACCAGCTCCCCCGGCAACACCCTTCTCAACGTCACCACGGCTACGGGGGCGCCCGTCACGGCCGCCTTCCTGTCGGGGGCGGGGCACGACAGCAGGGGCTTCGACGACTCACTGGAGATGAGGTTCGACTGCTGAGGTCTCGCCTCCGGTCAGTCGTTAACGCACATTCCCCCGACAGCGGGGCGTTCTCCATCGTGGCGTTCTCCATCGTGGCGTTCTCCATCGTGG